GAAGCAAGGATGTATAACGATCCTGAGTTTTTTGGGATAGATGTGGAAATTGGAAATGAATTATTAGATGTATGTCAAATAAAATTTTAACCAATCAAATTCTAATATTTAAGAAAGAGAAAAAAAATCTATTGGTTAAATACATATTAAATTCTTTTCCTACTCCTATTATTCACTCGTAAAAAATGTGATGTCAAAGTGTTATTCGAAGATTGAAAAAATAGGAAGGGATTACTACTTTGATTGGACGATATCTAAATCAAATGAGTTTAATCCTAAACTTTTAAATCATGCTATGGATGATTCGTTTGAAAAAAAAAAAAAAAAAAAAAAACCTTTAATTAATTACTTAAAGCAAATGACTAAAATATTCATGTTAGTTTTATTTATTTTGGAAACTTCAATCATTATATATCAAAGTTGAATTTCAAAGTAATAAATATTTAATTTAGAATTGACATATATTACATAATTCTGTTTCAAAACATACTACGGAGTACATGTTAATAAGTGAAATACTCATAACAACAGGGATAAGTTCTCCATTCCAACCTATAACAATAATCTCTCAATATTATTATCTTTGGAATATGACATCAAGCTTTTAAAATAGAGTACATTTTGCAATAGCGGGCGCCAAAACACTCCTAATTTTTTTTTTCTTTTTTTTTTTTACTTTGAGCACTCAAGTGCTTCAATTCAGACGTTTTCACACATTCTCCCTTAAATTTCACTCGAGAGATTTTTTATTTAAATAAACTTTAAAAAAAAATCTCTCAAATTCAATTTAAGGTAGAATGTATGAAAAGTCTGAATTGAAGCACTCGAGTGTTCCAAGTAAAAAAAAAAAATTTAGAGTGTTTTTGAGCTAGCTATTGCAAAATTTACTCAATTTTCGAATCGTGATGTTAGAGATTCTAGATAGGGAGACAAGTAAATAGTCCACCTTCACGCGCTCACCTGTGAGTCAATATATATGTGTCAGTCAACGCCATTATATCTAATAATATAATAATGACAATTACGACATAATCTAGTACTAGTACTACTGTAGTTTAATTTATGATATGATATGATGATGAAACTAACATTAATTATTTAGATAATAGAATAAAGGAAGATGTTGCTTACATAGGAAATCAATAATTAAACGTCAATCGCAAAAATAGTTGGAAAATTTGTGAAAAAATGCACTACAAAACATTTACAAAAACTTAAGGATCTCTTATATTTGAAGAGTATACGTACATAATATTTATGTATGTATCAAATTTCAATTTTAGGCTTAAAAGTTTACATGTAAGTGTGATCTAACATGATTTAATGAATATCCATTGATAGTCCTACAACTCTGAATGACTCCTAAACCATACTGTGACCGATTTAATTTTAAGTATAAAAAAAAGGTTATATGTAAATAATTTCATACTTTTGATACAAAATATTTAACAAAAAGCTAAAACTTTACCAGGATGGGGCTCAATAAATGTTACCCCGGCCCATTCTATCATAATTTATGGGCAACTGCATAAGCATGGGGCTCAATAAATGTTACCCCATCCTATCATAATTTATGTGTATAATTTATTAAATGCAAACACTGATGTTTTGGACCGAGATTTACAATGCAAGGTGGATGGTATAACAATTGATAAGAAAGATTTCTATTACATGTACTCCGTCACTTTTACTCCCGTGACAATTGGTGATTAGTTATCTTCATTTCGTGGGTCTCAATAAAAATGTTAACATCAAAATTTTGTGAAATGGAGTACAAATTTGGAGTAGAATTTGGGATCGAGTAAGTGTAGTATTTTTCAATAAGAAATACTATTTGGATTCTCAAATTCTACTCCTTACTTTTACTCCTCACACAAAAGTTTGATGTTGACATTTTCCTTAGACTCACAAGATGAAGATAATCTATCACCTCTTGCTCCAACTTGGTTTTAGCAACATTATTAGTTATACATGATTAATAGTTATACATGATAAGTTAACAACATAATTAATTTGTTTGTACATTTTTCATAATATATAATTTACGACTTAAAAGTGTTACAAACTCATCAATATAATAATAAGTAGGTGTTCATTCAATTCGCTTATTAGAATTGAGTAGATCATCGTAACTTTACTTCCATCATATCATTTACAAAATTAAATTACATCGGATTTTTATTATTATTTATGTTTGTTTATCAGACACAGTGACTAATTCCTGACAATTTTAGGCTGCTTCATTTTCAAACCCAGTGATCAAACCCTTTACCTTTGATTAAGGGTGAATGAGTTAATTCCACTCAACCACACCCTCCAGATTAATTAAATTTCTATATAGTTAAATAACTATTTACCTATTTAATCTATCACCCTAATATAAAGACTTGCCACACATGGGAACTTACGGGGCAACTTGTAATTTACCATTGAGTAAAAAGTAAGGTGGGTAATGAAGAAATTAAACATGTCATGCATCTATAAGCTTCAAATCCTTGTACAGTGTGTTATGTGAGTTGTGGTAGTTGGAGCCTGGTGAAATGAATTCAATGGTTGCCCCATCCTAGGCTCCTAACTAGCTATGATCTATAAATAGAGGCCAGCATGTAGTGTTAGTTCACTTCATATCTCTGATCTTAACTATGATATCTCTTTTCTCTCAATTCTCTCTCTTGCAATTGCTCTTCCCTTTCCCCTACTTTCGTTCTTAGCTTCATTACTTTTCTTCCAATCCAAAAATGGAGTTCGAACTTGTCTTCACTTGCACAGCAATTTTATTGCTTTGCACTCCCGTATTTTCCGCCGCCACTGAATGCCGTGATCCTTTAATCTTCAACTTTAGAGACTCTAACTCCGACACAGGTAGCTATGCCGCCGTTTACGGCACCTTTGGTGGCTACCTCGCTGGTCCGAAGTTCTTTCACCAAAGACCAAGGGGTAGCCACCAAAGACGCCGTAAATGGCTGCATAGCCACCTGTGTCGGAGTTCGAGTCTCCAAAGTTGAAGATTAAAGGATCACGGCAATCAGGCGGAAAACACGGGAGTGCAAAGCAACAAAATTGCTGTGCAAGTGAAGACAACAAGTTTGAACCCCATTTTGGATTGGAAGAAAATGTAATGAAGCTAATAAGAACGACAGAGCAGAGCAGAATTATCGTGAAGAAAGAGGAGTCACTAGTGGAGAGAAGATGGGGAAGGTTTCATTTGTTTATTCGTGAACAAAACTAGGCCTACTATGCATTATTATTCTAGCTTCTTCAAATAATGTAGTTGATCTTGACTTTGTTTATGCACATTTAAGTTGATTGTTACATTTACTATATAAATTCCATACAAAAGCAATGCCTACTATGCATTAGTTTCTTCAAATAATGTAATCTATCTTGACTTGGATCATAATGTGTTAATCTTCTATTATTATTATTATTGTTGTTGTTGTTGTTATTGTTGTTGTTAATCTTACTCCAAAATTTATGATCAATTGACTCAATAAAACGAAAAATTATAAAATTATGGTCAAAATAATTCTATCTCAACAAAAAATCAGCCCGATATTCTAAATGGGGTAGCTCAATTACCCGAGTCACGTAAAACAACTATTCTTTATTTTCATCTAAAAAAAAAAAACTAAATAGATAGATACATTTGGTAATTGAATGAATGAAATAATTAATTTCTCAATTAATTGTATGTAGGGACGTCAATCTTAATCTAAATTTTATTAAAAAAATATTCATCTTGACAAGAATTTGCTTGATGTCTTGAATGTGGTAGTCCAATAGCCCAACCATTTAAGGCAACTATTCTTTGTTTCATAATTAACGTGGAACAAAATATAAAAGGAGTTTATATGTAAGATTATATTTAATTTTTTTATTAAATTTGTAAATAAAATCATAATAAATTTATTTCAAAATAATTTTTTTATGAAAATTTACACATTACTATAATTATTATATGATAGTGTATATATATTAATTATTTTTAGTTCGAATTTGAAAATGGAGATTTAGATTGATTGATTGAATGATATATAAATTTATACTAGTAATTGTCCCGTGCGATGCACGGTAAATAAATTGTAAATATTTAATTTATGCTTGTTATATTATAAATTGTGTGAAAACGCTTTAATTTATAATTTTTAGAAAATCGAAAAGAAAAAGTAGTTTTTTAAAGAATCGAGATTTCTTAAACTTGAGCATTCAGCAAAATATCATCAAAAAATACCAAAAATCAACAACCATTTTCCTGATATCAAAAGACTCAAATAAATTAACCACATACCTAACTGATTTTTATATCAATAATTGTAATCTAACCTTCCACTGCTGACAACCAAAGAATTTCTGTTAACTATCACGTGCTGCACATAACGGAGATTTCAACCCACATTTGCAATACAAAGCGGGCTCATATTGCAAGTTTAAAATTACGCCTAGTAAAGTTGGATGAAGATGAAGAAAATGATCTTGAATTTGACGAAGACATTATTCTAGAATTCACCAACGCCCTTCCTTAATGGAGATTGGAGAGAACGATCAGAATATCTGTATCTTTTTTGTAATTTTTCCTAAACTTTATAAACACAATTATTAAATTTAGATCATTCTTTTTAAAATAAAATAAAAAATTAGATGAGATAAATTAAGTATATGTTCATTGATTTTCTATTTAAAAAAAAAAACAAAATAAACGATTACTCTTTTAAAGTAACAAAAAATGTGAACAGTCACTATTTCAAAATTGATTACAAAATCATATACTCCGTAATAAATGCTATGATATTTAAGTATATCAAAAAATATTAATTTGATTTGATTCATAAAAATAATAACAGAACTAATATTGATTTGACCTTGGTAAATGCACTATAATTATAATAATTAATAAATAGTAATAATAATTATTATTAATAGTATTGATAATATAAATTAATGATAATAATAATATTAATTAATGATAATGATAATATAATAATATTAAAATGAGAGACGAACGAATCGAGAACATTCATTTCTTCATCTCTGTCTCTCTCTACACTCATTTGCTTATTCCATCCTCCTACTTCTCTGTTCTCTCTATTTTTCTGGAAATTTCCAATGCTAGATCTGTGGGGTGACTTATGAGATGCTGAAATTCCATTGATCAATACATTTTGATAGATTTCAGATGATACTCTACAATTGATAATACGTCTCCTACTTCCCTCTACTTTTCTAAAAATTTCAGTGCTTAATCTTAGGATTGAGAAGTGGATAGTCCATTTGATCTTTACATTTTTAGAGATTTCGGAAATGAGCTTGTTGATTTCCTATCATGCAGAGTGACATATACTATAATTTGTGCATATATACTTTAGCACTTATCTCTCGATCTAGATAAACATTTTTTTTTTCATTCTTTTTTTTTCATATCTGGATTTATTGATATTCGAATGTTTTATATTTACATTTAGTACAGTAGTATATTTCCAGATCTGTAAATTTTATTTTATTCTGTAGAGTAACAAAATGGCGATAGATCAAGTTGAAATCCTAGATCTTGATCATGCATGAGGGTAGTTGGTTTTTTGATGCATTTCTCTTATAGATCCAGTGGTGCTCTGTCTCTCTCTATAAACAGTCAAAGGCACCATCAACACACCGGTGGTGCTCTGTCTCTCTCTATAAACTTCTTATCCCCTTTGTTTTCCGATATCCCTCATACCTCCACATCTTCACGAATCGGTTGTTTCAAAGCAATATTGGTGTTCTTCTGAGCTAGATCTGTGTTTCTTATGTTTGATCGTTGCTATTTTTTTTGTTCTAACCGTGATTTTTCAGCCGCAGGTGTTGCCGGCATATGTACTGAGAAGAGCTCTTCGTCAATTTACCAAAAGCGGTAGTCTACAACCATTTTTTATGGTAACCATTTACTTGGAACATGATAAAATTTTGTTTTTAGAAGAAATCTTCTACAGAATCCGGTCTTAATTATTTCAGTATGTTATATTTACTGTAAGATTTTAACATGCATGTATGTATACTGCTTTTTTAAGATCCTTAAATGTTATGATAAAATTTTGCATTAGTTAACCCAAATTTCAGTATACAGCATATCAAATACCTTAGTTTAAGCTTAATGACCTAACCTGTAGATAAATTCTTTCTATATGTGCTATAATTTAAAACTGTTATCTGTGAGATTTTATACATCATAAGAAGTGCAGTAGCAATTAGAAGAGGGATTACCTTTGTGTGATCCATATGTGAGCCAATTGTATACTCATAATTTTTCAACTGAAATACACCAACTATATTTTGACAGTTTAAGGACTTCAATTGGTGATGGGCATAGAGTATTATACAATTGGGCAGTAATTGTTTATCTTGAGGTGATAAATTCAGTGGAAAAAAATAGTGCATCAGACTGTAACATTAGTATAATAAGTTTTTGATTATACTATTAATCACATTAATCCTCTGCCTCATATCCCTCACCCGTAATAAAATAGTGGAATATATATTTCATGCAAGTATCAATATTCCCGCTGGGTGCAATGCATGTAGCAGGCTTAGCTTCATTTATGTTAATTTCTTCAAGCAGTGATTAGCTAGATTTGGTTCACGTCGTGATAACTTCCGGTTGTGCAATAAGAGGAACTCAAGGAATGGACTATATTGGAATATATATATATATATATATATATATATATATATATATATATATATATATATATATATATATATATATATAGTTCAATATTTTCATAGTTCATATAATATATGTAGATAGATTTTAAATTTCACCAATGATATGATTTTCAAATTTTTAGAATTACATTCTTTATCAAAAAAAAAAAAAAAAAAAAAAAAAAAAAAAAGAAGTTGGAATAGGATTCAAAGGTTTACCAAATGTGCAGGTGTTTTGCAGCCGGCTCTTTTGGATATGGAAGCTTCAACCGGCTCTTTTGGATATGGAAGCTTCGGCAGCCACACCTCACGTAAAGAATATGGGTCTTGTTCCTCCCTTATCGAAGCTCCATGTTCTCTACACCATTGCTATTCAGTTGTAGAGAGTATTCCCCTTTCGTTCTAACTTGGTAGTGTTTGAATTGAAGAGAATGTGATGTATATATATAGATGTTTAGATATGATTGCTGATCTTTGGTTAGTGAATGAAAGGGCAGATAACCGTGTGTTCTTGTAATTATGAAGTATACGAAGAGGCAACTGGGTATATTCAAATAATTAACCTTTCAAATTGTTAATATTTATTTGTATTATTTTGAATATCTGCAAAAATCGAAAAGGCACAATTATGTGTAATCAATTCCAACTGACGATTTTCGAAACGATGCATTTAATACAATTATTCTGAACCATTATCCTCCCAAACTCCAAAACGCAGTGTTTTACTTGGCAGGAATTTTTGGCGGGAATTTTTGGCTCTGCTATATTATAGTAGAAGATAGAAGATTTATTAGTGTAATTATGTTAGTTTATTAAAATTAAAAGTTTATCATGTCAATTTTATAATGTCAAAATTTTTAGGTAAATTTACTTACACGAAAACCTGAGATTTTAATATTAGGACCAAGAATTTAAATGCACCAAAATTTTTTAAATATGTATAAACGGATAAATTCAACATTCAAAACCAAATGAGGTGGTTCAATTGACATTCCTAATTACGTGGATGCATATGACTATATGAGAATATATTGAAGCAACTAGGGTGGATATATTAAATAAATAAATAAATAAATAAATAAATAAATAAATATATATATATATATATATATATATATATATATATATATATATATATATATATATATATATATATATATTATATATCAGATGCGGAGGTTGTGTCCAAGTGAAATATGTGGTGAGATAATAGCCATTGGTTTTGCCAAAATCAATGTTCAGGATGAACACAGATTAAAAAGTGCAGTGGCAATTTAGTCATTTTGTGTTTGTTCAAACTTAAGATGTGTATTTTTTGTGCTTAAGGTACGTCGTGTTAATACTTAAGTTGCGTCAGTTTAACACTTAAGGTGTGTCATTCTAACACTTAAGGTGCGTCTTTGTAACACTTAAGGTGCGTAATTTTTATACTTTGCTTCTTCCTTCCAGGACGCACATTTTTTTTTAAAAACAAATTTTCATAGATTTGAGCCTGATGGCGATTTTTCCCCGAGCATTGTGCATGTGCGGTGGTTGGTAACATATCCTCTGTGCGAGCTGAGCCCGATCCGATCACAACCGACCTAGTACTCACACCTTCTCGACCTAGTTGTTAACTGAGCTTGGCCGAAGGATGCGTTTGTAAACAGCATTGCCATACCAGCGCCTCCACCTATCTAGGTTGGGACCGACCTACTTACACCCCTGCGGCAGAGTGTTGGACGCTCAGGAGTATCAGGGCACGTGGCTAAGGCCCTTTAGGCCCAGACCTGAACTCGTGCATGAACTCCACGTGCCACACATGCCTTTGAGTCGGGACTTGTCCCCTCCTCTCCCTATAAATACTCAATTTTTTACTGTCAGATGGACTTTTGGCTATTTCCACTTACTAGCTATTTGCTCGGGGACCTCTTACTCACTGTCATATACACCGAGCTACTAGATTTAAACCAACAAGCAGACTACGCATAGTATCCGACACTCGGAACCGGCCTAGGACCGTGTATCGTAGAGAGTACCATTCATATATTGTGCACTTCACGGTAAAGTATTAAAAGGTGCATGCTATAGTATTAATAATTGCACTTTGCAAAATGCAAAAGTGCATTATACTTAGGGTTTGAATTTAAGAATTTAAGATTCAACATTTTGATTTTATTTGATTTAGGGTTCCACATTTTACTACTTAGGATTTAGCATTTACGATTTAAGTTTAAAATTTACTTTTTTTTTGTTGATATTTTTAAGAGTTATGTAGATCGAAATATTATTATGCGCACAATATAATGTTAAAAAGTTATATAACAAAATTGACAATAATTATAATAATATCATCTGAGTACAATTAACTCTAATGCATGTCATCTCATCTTCTAAATTAAAGAATTAGTTAAACAACAAAATAAATGTGAATAATTAGCCGGGAAAATAATATTTTAAATTATACTAAATAAATGGGATTATATAGGTAGAAAAACTACCAGATCGAATGGAATGGGTACATGCATAGTTGCCCGGGCCACTTAGATCTCATTCACTATAATATTGTATTTTGTTCTCCCAGAAACCTCTGAATAACATGAGATTGGGCAATAACCTCCTCCTAGCTAGCTGCAGTTTCATTCGATGATTATTTAAAAATGTATTACTTTATTATGATATGTCTTATGGGCTAAAAGTTGTTTTGCTGGAAGAAACTAAGTACCACTAAAAACACTGGCTTGAAATACAGCAACTGTGTGAACCAGAAAGATAGGAAGACATTGACTAGTCATCAAGCATTATTTGAATTATTTGATGCTTCCAAATTATTATGGATTATGGTGCTTGAGCCATATATTGTTGAAATCATGAGAATTTATGTTGCAACTTGCAATATTGGTTCAGTTTCTTAACCAATAAGACTGGTTTGTAAATGTTGAAATCAAGTGTTTTTGTGGCCTATACATCTTTTTTTGTTTTTTTTGTTTTTTTTTTTTTTAGAGATAAGGAGTACATTGTACACTTGTACCAACATTTTTACAAGTTAAGAAGTACATTACAAATTAAATTAAATATATGAAATCTTTGACATTGATGTCTGTACATATTATTAAATGTGCATTAATTGTTTTTCTTGTTTGGTTATTTTATTGTACTGTTTGCACCTTACATGTACACAAGTTAAGTGATTGATCGGCCGATATATATAGGCATGAGATGTGGATGTATCACAAATTAAAGGGTGCAATAGAAAAGCTTACAACTTGAGATGAGAGATGAAAATGGAAGAAGTATTGGAAGCAGATAAAGCGGGTGAATTGAAGGGGGTATGATGTAGCTTAGCAGGCCTATATATATATATATATATATATATATATATTAGGATCCCTCTTTAATTAATTGCCTCTTCAAGATCAATGCAAATTTATTGGAATGGAAAGGATATAAGCCAAATAAATGTCAATACAAATAGCTCATAATTCCCACTCGAGAAATTGCAACCATTCATCTGTCAAATTTTTTTTTATTCATAACTATTTTTTTAACCTATTGAAGCAGAAAGAGCCAATATCACTACTGGAAATTCTGAAATTTTCGACCACTTGAAAGTGATCTTAAATCAAGTCGAAAATCTTGTTCCGACTACTTTTAGTATCCGGAAAAACCCTTGTTGCTATTTCCAACCACTTTTTGCTTTCAACTTGATTCAAGATCACTTTCAAGTGGTCGAAAATTCAATAATTTCCAGTAGTGATTCTCTCATAGGGATTCAATTTTGTGACCTTCCCTCAAGAAAAGTCACAGAGGTGCCATATGAGCACTGGGGTTCGAGCTTCAGTGGAAGCGGTATTGACTCGTTGGGCTTCAGTAGGTTGAGAAAGTATATTTGAACAGATACTACATGTAACAGAGTCAATAGTACTCAAAAAGAATAGATTTAAGAAAATATATTCTAGTGTTTGGCTGGATTAAGTAATATAAATGCAATAAACACTCAAAAGAAAAAATTATCTTTCACATTGAGAAGAAGAAGTACATGTTAAAAAAAAAAAAAAAAAAAAATACCATATATAGTTATGAATCATATTTTACTTAGTAGGAACCAATGGTGTAAACTCAACCCTACCCAAGTATACAATGATTTATTTATATTAGCTAGTGTGACTTACTAAGAGTAACTGGGTTAATATCCTTCCTAATAATTCATAAGTCATAGTGTAAACTCAACCCTACCCACTTCACTTAGCATTGGTGCTAATATTAATTACGCCTTTTGTTTTGTCACTCATTAACCAAGAATTGAGTACTCAATCATGTAGTTAAATTTTGAGAAGTTAATCATGACGACCTTATATATAATTGTAGTTTTGATGTGATTACATATGTAATCTTTATTGTGTTTGACCATAAGTCATCATTTTAATATAAAATATTTCATGTAAGATACTAAGAAGAAAATTAAATTTTGAAAAAAAGGGTTAATAATAATAAATAATAAATTAATAATAGTAGCAGTAGGTTGTTCACCGTGAATGGTGAACACAAGTCCAAACGACGTCGTTTATAGACACAAAAAAAATAAAATCGCGGATGTGGAGTTAACGACGCGCATTTGATCAAATTATGAATTTTCTGTTATGAGATTATGAATGTAATGTAAATTCATAATCTCATAACAGAAAATTCATAATCGCATAAAAGTAAAATATTTATTAAATTATGAATTTTCTGTTATGAGATTATGAATGTAATGTAAATTCATAATCTCATAACAGAAAATTCATAATTTCATAACAGAAAATTCATAATTTCATAACAGAAAATTCATAATTTCATAACAGAAAATTCATAATCTCATAACAGAAAATTCATAATCTCATGGTTCCAAAGTGAAATTGTAGGCATGGTTACAAAGTGAATGTGAATGCATGGATTCATAATTTATGAATGTTCGTGATTTCGGACGGGAATGTGTAGGCATGGTTCCAAAGTGAATGTGCAGGCATGAATTCATAATTTATGAATGTCCGAAATCATTGCTCACCTCAAATTAAAGTGAAACCGCAAAATGTGAAAATGAAGAAGAAAAGTCATGCAATTAATTAAGGAAAAAAAAAAAGATAACGGTGTACTAACACCGTTGGAACCGTGTTCACCATTCATGGTGAACACGGTTCCATGGCATAACGATTGTAGGTTGTTGTACTCGGCAGCTAGTTCTTCAATTTAATGGGGGTAATTAATGAGCTGAGATTACAATGCACAGTATGGGTAAATTAAATGTATCAAAGCAAGTTAAGCAACCATCCATATAAATCTTTTTTGTAACTGCACACAGCACATGCATGGTAACAACGCCCATACATTCCCTTTGTCCCAACACTACTTACAATACATTGCAATTTTTAGATTGTGTGCAATAATATAGAATGAGTGTGTATCTTGGTAAATTAAGAAAATTAGAAATAACATCACGTTAAGTCTTTAATACACTTATGGTATATATATATTGATATTCAATTTTATATTTTAATAGGGTTAAAGTTGAATTAGGGATGAAGATTTGCATTCATGTGTGGAGTTTAATAAGAAGAAAAT